ATAGATGTAAAATACTTAGGAAACTCCTGGCATTTAACAATCGCTTTCTCCCTTTTCCTCCTCCTCATCTCCACCATCATCTTTAAATTTTTTTTATTTTATTTTTTTTTATGATAGTCACACACACACACAGAGAGAGAGAGGCAGAGACACAGGCAGAGGGAGAAGCAGGCTCCATGCACCGGGAGCCCGACGTGGGATTCGATCCCGGGTCTCCAGGATCGCGCCCTGGGCCAAAGGCAGGCGCCAAACCGCTGCGCCACCCAGGGATCCCTCCACCATCATCTTTAGATAGAGTATGATTTGTACAGGAAAGCCTCAAATGCCCTGGATGACAGCAGGGGAGTAATAAAAGTATGGGTATATACAAAATGGAAATGTAGGCCAAACCTGCTTCCTCTCAAAGGAATGCATTTGTGGTAGATGCTGGCTGAATGCTCTCAATTTCCTTATTCTAGTCATATAGGAAGACCATATTTCTCATCATTCTGACAGATACCCTGGGGTGTGTCATTGGTTTCCAGCCAAGGGCATCAGGGCGGAAGTGATGCATATCACTTTCAAACTTAACCAGATAGCTCCATGGTCATCCACTCATTTTCTTTCTCTTATTTCATCTGATAAATTCAGACGTCCTTTGTTTAAGACAATAGTCCCAAGAGATGGAAGGAGCAGGGATCTACGCATTCACTGATGGAGAGTCAAATGAGTGAGTCGTGAGCAAAAGCAAAGCTCAATCAGGCTAAGCCTTTGAAATTTCTGAGTTTATTTGTTCAAGATCCTACTCATAATTTTTTATACCAATTACTAGGCTGATATTACTCAGCTCTAAATCAGTTCTATATTCCATTTCAAGATGCTGGAGCTACGGGCCTTCAAACCAGATTTCTCCTTTGACACTGACCTCTTGGTCAGCTTCTGCCAATACTAGTGCTAATGGAAACTAGAAGACAGGGACAGAGCAAGGATTAGCTGCTTCTTGCTTACCCTGTTTCTGCTAGTGTCATCGCAGCCATGATTTTTTTAAGTCAGCAGTGAAAGGCAGGTCCATTTCCTAAGGTCCTTTTTTTTCCCACACTCTCATAACTATTCTTAGTGTACCATCCCTTCTTCCTCCCACTTAAATATGTAAGGATTGAGAGGAGCATCTCCTTCAGGGTCTAGATCGAGGATCCTTAGGGTCCTCCCCTGAACTCAAGTTTCCCACAACAGCTGAGAAGCATCTCTCCTCAAACTCTGAGGAGCTTCTCCTTCAGCCTCTTAGGTTCAAATAACTCCTGTCTCCTCCCAGTGTCACCTCTCCATATGGGTGGTTGTCACTTCTTACAGTTACTAAATACACACATTTTTTTAAAAAAGAACTTTTTCAGTCCTCCAAGAGTCAATTGAATAAATGTTCATATTACATTCTTTTTTAGAATTACTGTTTACTGTTTTCCTTACTGTACCTCAACTTCTATAACTACCCAAATGTAGAAATTGGTGATCAAAGTCTATGAGACCACAACAAAAATCTAAAATATTTGTCATTTGCTTAGTGGCGGGGCAGTGGGTGGCAAGGAAACCAATTTCAAAGGTAGAATGCCACCTAGCTGATGTTTTGGCAAAGCTCTTGGCAAAACTGCTGTTTGGATTAACTTGAGAGGCAGACAGTGGACCTGCTGGGCTGGCAATACTCAAAATAGATGGGAAAACAAAAATTAATAATGTATGTTAATAACTATTAAGTACATTCAGCAAAGTGTTCAAAGAAGCTCATGAACTAGTATGAAAGCAGTTCTGACTGGGTATAGGGAGACTATGGAAGTTTGGGGGCTCACTGGACAAAACATCTGGCTTCTTCTAAACCCCAGATGATGGGATATGACATTGATGCAAGTGTTGAGTAACAAAGATGCACTGAAAATTTACATTTGTATGAAGTAGTTCAAGACAAATATAAGATTTAGAGCTGACACTGAGTAAAACTTCTCAGTTGAACAAAGTATCTCTGTACAAAGATCAGGTCAAGGATGCGGTCCTCCAGCCTAATTTTCAAGATACGGTCATCTTGAGACAGAGACATGAGAAGAGAAAGTCAAGGGCATCCAAGAAAGAGCTTTCTTAGGCACATGGACTATCAGGAAGCAAATAGACCATAATCCTTTGAAGATTTCCGAAAATTGTAGTACTGAAGTACCATGATCCCAGAAATACGAACCTTAAAATATTTAAGATTTAAAACAATTCAGTCTCATAATTTTCCCAAAATAGGAAAAATATTTTAAGGCTATACAACCCTTAACAGGCAATTTAAATGTTGACAAGGAGAATAAAAGGAAATGAAGAACTTCCCAAAGAGCTCATCCAGAGGCCAGAGAGAACCACAAACAAAGATGATCTTCCAGGGATCAGGGTCAAAGCCTATTCAAGGATCCTCCCTGACCTCTAGGTTAGGGAGACTTTAAAATGTCTGTCTAGTACGATTTCACCTCTGAGTTCCATACGTGTACCTGATTCTTTTTCCAAGCATGAGTATTGTTGTGATTTCCCTTTTCCCACTCCTTTCCTATATGTTGGTATATATGTATGTTGGGAGTTGGTTGCAAAACACAGATAATTTATTCATAGGTGATTCACCATCATCACCACTTGATGCCACTTGATGAGGACAATAAATAACCAGTGCTCATGGGCTTGAACTGAACCCAGTGACTGAAATACTTGTGTTATTTCTCTTGGAACGTAATAACTCTTTTTCATGAGGGAGTGCAAACATGACTTGAATATTTGGCAACCAGAGGGAGGTCTAAGGAAGAGATGGCCTCCTAATTCTATCTGCTCTTCTTTGGTCATATATGGCTTCCTAGCATATTACCAGCCTCCACTGCAGTTCAGATGGGGCCATGAGACAGGTTTAGTCAGTGGAGGAGCATGCACACATTTGAGGCTGCTCCATAATAGCATATGCACAATGACTCCCATAGTCTTTCCTTTTTCCTCAGGCACCTAAGAAGCCATGTCCTTAAGAAGGAGCATTAAAAGATGGCAGGAGGATGCATGTATCTTTGAATCATCATTTGACAGTGAAGGAGAGCTGCCTAAGACACACTGGCTATGACATAAGAAAGTCATATTTTATTTTTCTTTGTTAAGAAACAGATGGTGAAATTATGTTTCAGCGGCTAGAAGTTATCCATCCAAGACAGCATTAGATTTTAAAATATTAATTACTGGATTTACAAAATTGGTAACTTCCTGACTTTTCCTTCTACTAAAAGTATCTGGATGGGAAGGAAATGTCATCAAGAAAGTGAGGCAGCATGGTGTAGTACAAAAAAGCCTTGCCCTGAGAATCCTGGCTTCCAGCAATCTTTTTATCATTTACTAGCTAAGTGACACTGGGAAATTCAATTAATTTTTTCTGGGCCACAGTCCACATCTGGTAAATTAAACTAATATTAGGTTACCCAATTATAGGAGAAAGCAAGGCCAATGTTTACTCAAGAATTTTTATGGTTTTGGTCTATGGTTCTATGAAATATAAATTAAGCACTAAAGCCATTCTAATAAAAGCACAAAAGAATTTTTCTGTTTTAAAATTTCTAGCCTTCACATGATACTTGACAAAGTCCAGCTTTATATATAACTATTGTGTAACATATTTTTAAATGGTGTTAACTCATGCCAAGCAGTTTTATTGAAAAAAAATTTACAAAAGATCATGTTTGAGATGAAACAAGGCAGATGATAATTTTAAAAAATCTATTCCTCAGAACTTTGACTATATCATTACATTACGTGTATTTTTTTCATACCCCCAGCCCTTTCCTCACAACCTAAGATGATGGAATTTAAGCAAAATTCCCCCTTCTATGCTTTGTTGACTAATGGCTATTCCCTCAGGTGGTTTCTCTTGATATTCACTCAATAATATTTGCTCAGGATTATTATTTCTATTTAAAATAATGGAACTTATTGGGACACCTGAGTAGCTTAGTGGTTGAGCGTCTGCCCTCAGCTCAGGGCATGATCCCTGAGTCCCAGGATTGAGTCCTGCACTGGACTCCCTGTGGGGAGCCTGCTTCTCCCTCTGCCTATGTCTCTGCCTCTCTCTGTGTGTCTCATTAATAAATAAGTAAAATCTTAAAAAAAATAAAAATAGGAAAATAACAGGAAATAAAATAATGAAACTTATCAAATAACTCTAAGTAAAAAATAAACCTAAAATCTTTGCTCATATTTAATTATACATTCATCAACTAATAAATCAGGCTAATGAAAACACTTGTGTTCATATAAAATGGCAAAACAATAATTAAAATATATCTAACATGTCAATTTAAAACTTAGAGACTGAATATAGTTTTTCTACTTTACATAAAAATGAAGAATGTTGCAACCAAATCTAAACAAAGAATGCATAAAATTCCTTTTGTATTGAGTTCTCTTTTCCTAGTCACTGGGAAACAATGGATAGTTACAGCTGGGTAGTTGAACTTCAAGCAGAAAACAAAACATGAAAAACTAAAATATTGATTCAGTCTTCAAATTATTTTTGCAATTATTTAATTCAGAGTTTTGCATAAAATTTATAATTTTAATCCTCTTTTCAGACATTTTTAGAACATATATAGGAAAACACAGAGGGCGTGATTCTGATTTTTCATTATTTTTGGATAATTGTACTCATTTTCCTCCACTGATTCCATTACACAAGTGTAGAATGCAAGATACAAACTTTAACTCTTTAAGGTCACTAACATAACAAAAGGGCAAGGTCAAAAGAAATACAAGGAAAAAGAAACTCTTGTTTAATCTGAATTAAGCTCTAATAGTATATGACATTAGATATTTTTATTAATATAAATTACACTGAATCTATATGAACAATATAATGCTAATGCAAATGTTATTGTAAACAAGAATAATGTTTACTTAAAAAGTTATCACTTTCCAGATTTCTGCAGCATTCAATTTACATACAAGCCATTTTGAGGAAAAAATAACTTTTCACTCACCAATGTGGAGGTTTGTGAGGCATCAGCCAAATCCCCTGAGATCTCGGGTGTTCGCGTGTTGTTTGGGATTCTGTGAGGGTTACGGGCTATCGCTTCACACCAGCCCAGCATTTTCTCCTTCCTCTTATCCCTTTTCAATTTCTGAAATTCTGAAAATAATTTACATTCCCTGAAACAGTTCACTTATTTTAGTTGCCTGTTTTTGGAAAATGTACATAATTGAAATTAAATAAGCAATTTAATGACATACCAATGGAAACATCATATTTTAACCAGAGATTATGGTAAGGAAAAAAAGAGTATTTTGATTATTAATAATATCTCAAATATAAGGCAATGGAAACAGTACATATCTATTCAAAGAGCCTAACATCCTTTACACTCCAATTTGTAGCACTTCTAGACTGTGGGAATTCCTTACATCAGGTTCTAAATGTTATTTTTAAGAAGCAGTTTATAACAGGAGTTCTTACCTTGGGAGCTAAAAACAATTCCAGTTCCTGCTATATCTACATATTTCAATGACATCTAAAATTAGGTAGAGCTTTTCAGCTGAATGCCCTACAGATGCAAAATAAATTGAACACTGGTCAATGATAAAGATTACTCATTCTGGCAGTGGCATGATTATCTCCTTCATAGAGTTCTGCCAACTGAAGAGGGAGAAATTGTAGTGCAGGCATGGCATGACATCCACCACCCCATCACCAGCACAGTCTATTCAAAAATAATAATTTAAAATTTTTCCCTACTGAATCCTAAGTAAAAGTATTCTATAAATCTTTGTAGCTTTCCAGAATTTTCCATTTGGGGAAGTTTTTTGTTTTTTTTTTTTGTTTGTTTGTTTTTTTGGTTTTTTGTCTGTGGAAAAGCATTATCAACAATGACTTTTTAATGTAATGGAGAAAACATTGTTTCCCTTGTAAAGTTTTACAGCCTACTTTTCCACTCCACCACACTCAGTAATTAGAAATAGTTTATTGCAGGTCTTTAGTTAAATGCATTACACTGTCAATTAAATATCAAAAATAATGTGTAGTAATTATTTTTCACAGCATCCAAAGCAATTAGCAATCTGGTGGTTTATAACATTTCAGAGATTCAAAATAGCACATTTCATAGCACTAAGAAAAGTAACATAAAGAAAGGTTGCACTAACGGATTGATGAGTTATTACTCTAAATGACAAAATACTCAAGTTAAATGGATCTGAACAATGCAAATAGAGAATTTATATAAAAAACACTTTAGAGGAGCAGTTCAAGATGGAAACATAGGAATAGCCTGAACTTACATCCTCCCATGGACACACCAAATCTACAGTTACATATAGAAAATTCTCTCTGGGGACGCCCGAGTGGCTCAGCGATTGGGCACCTGCCTTCGGCCCAGGGCATGATCCTAGAGTCCCAGGATCGAGTGCCACATCGGGCTCCCTGCATGGAGTCTGCTTCTTCTCTTTCTGCCTGTGTCGCTGCCTCTCTCTCTGTGTCTCTCACAAAGAAAGGAAAGAAAGGAAAGAAAGGAAAGGAAGAAAGAAAAAGAAAGAAAGAAAGAAAGAAAGAAAGAAAGAAAGAAAGAAAGAAAGAAAGAAGAAAATTCTCTCTGAAAAAAATGTGAAAACCCGCTAAGCAGCTCCTCCACAACAAAGGATAAAAAGGACACACTGAGATGGGTAGGAGATGCAGAGATATGTTCTTGTCAAAAACTCTGCTCCCAGTGTAGAGACCCACAAATAAAAAGCATATCCCTGAGACTCAAGGGCACAAGCCTCACATCAGGCCCCCAACTCTTAGGACTTGCAGCAGAGGTACAAGCCTCCAAAAGTCTGTCTTTGAAAACCAGAGAGTCTTATATCTAGGAAACCTAAAGGGCTATCGGAAACCGAGACTTCTAATTTAAAGTGTTTGTACAGGTTCATCTGCCCTGGGACCCAGCAAATGAACCAGATAAACCAGCACAAAAGCAACAGGTTAAAAAATGGTTAACAATATATGAAAAAGATCCACTGCCTACTTTTAAAGCATCTCTAGAGTGTCAGGGGCCTATTGGAACCCTGTCTAGGAAGAAAGGTGGTGGTGGGTGTCGTTTTTGTGCTCTCCCTCTACCTTGTCATCACTACTTGCACTGAATCTCAACCCTGACCTACTAAACCCAGGAGGTGGGCATACTCCAGCTTGGTGTATCCCCACAGCACCACCTTGCTAAACCCAAAAGGCAGGCTCCTCCATGCCTCACTGAAGGCAACAGGTGCATGCAGTCCTATCAGAGAATGTCAGTTGAACCTGGCTCTGGTGGTCACAGAAGCTTTCTGGGCTCCATGGGATTGAAACAATCAAAGGGAGTTCAGGCAAGGGTCTCAACCCCAGGCACTGAAATACTTGTAATCTTTCTGTGACCACTTCTTCAAGACAGAGATAGCTGTTTTGCCTGATACACAGAAAGCGAGAAGTCAAGCAAAGTGAGAAAACAGAAGAATAAGTTCTAAATGAAAGAACAAGATAAAACCCCAGGAACAAAAATTAATGAAATGGATATAAGTAATTTCCTTGATAAAGACTGCAAAGTAATGGTCATAAAGATACTCATCAATCTCAAGAGAAGAATGGATGAGAGGAAAAAGAAATTCAACAAGTAGATAAAAAAAAACATATGAGAGTGCCAAGCAGAAGTACCAAGCAGACCTGAAGAATATAATAACTGAACTTAAAAATATACTAGAGGGGATCAATAACGGAATAGCTGATGCAGAAGAGAAGATCAGTGACCTGGAAGACAAAGGCAGTAGAATTCACCCAAATACAGCATAAAAAACAAAAACAAAAAAAAGTTAAAAAAGTAAATACAGCTAAAGGACATGGGACAACATTAAGCAGAATAAGAAAAGTAAAGACAGCTAAAGGACCTATGGGACAACATTAAGCAGAATAAGATCTGCATTATAGGAGTCATAGAAACAATTACAAAATACCTTGAGATGAATGAAAATAAAAAAGTCTATGTGGGTTGCAGCACAAATAATTCTAAGAGGAAAGTCCAGGCCGACCTCAAGAAACATGAACATCCTTAAATAAACAATCTAACTTTACACCTAAAGTAATAAGATAAAGGGGAACAAATGATGCCCAAATTTAGCAGAATGAAGGAAATAACAAAAACTAGAGCAGAAATAAATGAAATAAAGACTAATAAGACAACAGAAAAGATCAATGAGACTGAGAGCTGGTTATTTAGAAAGAAAAACAAAATTGATAAACTTCAGCTAGATTAATTAAGAAAAAAGGGGGCTCATATAAATAAAATCAGAAATGAAAGAGAAGATACAACTGATCTTGAAGAAATACAAAGGTTCATAAGAGATTACTATGAAAAATTATATGTCAACAAATTGGATAACCTGGAGGAAATGGACATAGTCCTAGAAACATAGAATCTTCTAAAAGTAAATCATAAAGAAATAGAAAATCTGAATAGAACAATTCATATTAAATTAAAAACCTCCCCTCAAAAACAGTCCAGATGGTCTCACTGGTAAATTCTACCAAACAAAGATTTTAATACTTATCCTTCTCAAACTTTCCTAAACAACTGAAGAGAAGGGAATCCTTCTAAACTCATATTACAAGGCCAGCGTTACCATGCTACCAAAACTAGAGGAGAACATCACACCCCCCATACACACACTCCACACGCAATGATAGACTGATATCCCTGATGGACATAGATGCAAAAATTCGCAACATAATATTAGCAAATCAAATTTAGCAATACATTAACAAGATCATACACCATGATCAAGTAGGATTTATCCAGGGATGCAGGGATGATTTGACATCTACAAATCAATCAATATGATATACCAGATTAACAAAATGAAGGATAAAAATCATATATGATTGCCTTAATAGATGCAGAAACAGCATTTGGGAAAAATTCAATATCCATGTTTGATAAAACTCTCAACAAAACAGGTATAGAGGATATATGGCTCAACATAATAAAGGCTATCTAGGACAAGCCCATAGCTAACATCATACTCAATAGTGAAAAGTTTTTAGCTTTTCTTCTATGAAAAGGAACAGGACAAGGATGCCCACTCCTACCACTTTTATTCATCATAGTATTGCAAATCCTAGCCAGAGCAATTAGGTAAGAAAAAGAAATAAAAGACATCCAAATTTGAAAGAAAGAAGTAAAACTGTCACTATTTGTGACTGAGATGATTTTTTATATAGAAAACCCACTTAAACTACAAAAAAGAGAAATTAGGACAACTACCTCAATTAACAACTGCCTCAAAAAGAATACAATATGACCTAGGAATACATTTAAACAATGAGGTAAAAAATCTGTCCACTGAAAACTATGAGATATATTTTCTTTTATGATAGTCACAGAGAGAGAGAGAGAGAGAGAGAGAGAGAGAGAGAGAGAGAGAGAGGCAGAGACACAGGCAGAGACACAGGCAGAGGGAGAAGCAGACCTCATGCACCAGGAGCCCAATGTGGGATTAGATCCCGGGCCTCCAGGATCGCGCCCTGGGCCAACGGCAGGTGCTAAACCGCTGCGCCACCCAGGGATCCCAAAACTATGAGATATTGATGAAAGAAACCAAAGAAAACACAAATAAATGGAAAGAAATTCCATGTTCATGGACCGGAAGAATTAATATTGTTAAAATGTCTACATTACTAGAAGAAATCTATAGATTCAATGTTGTCTCTATCAAAATTCTAATGGTATTTTTCAATGCAATTAGAACAGAAATAGAACAAATAACACTCAAATTTGTATGCAACCACAAAAGAGCCCAAATAACCAAAGCAATTTTGAGAAAGAAGAATAAAGCTAGAGGCAACATGCTCCTTGTTTTCAAACTTTATTACAAAGCTACAGTAATCAAACAGCCTGGTATTGGCATAAAAACAGATACACAAATCAATGGAACAGAATAAAGAACCCAAAAGTAAGCCCATGAATATATATTCAATTAATTTATGACAAACAGGACAAGAATACACAATGGAGAAAGGACAGTCCGTACAATAAATGGTGATGAGAAAACTGACAGCGACACATAAAAGAAGGAAACAGGATCACTGTCTTATACC